GGTGTTCCTAATAATCCTTTAGGTGAGTGTAAGTCTTATAGTTACACAGTGATCTCATGTTGATTCATCATTAATGAATCATGATGCATGTTTTATCTCAAGCAGTTACTACATTTGTTACTATATCTGTTAGTTCTGTAAACCTTTATGAACAACTAAGGAACTGCTGAAGGAACAAGTGATTAACAGAAGTGAAATACTGATCACGTTTGTTCATCATTAATGAACTGTGACGCATCTTTTCTCTCAAGCAGCGACTATATTTGTTCATGATTTGTACAGCAGCAGTTAAGTATTTGTGCTCCATCAAATAAAGTGTGACCCATATAGTAATAGTATTAAACACCGTGGAACAGAATAACATAAAAAAAAATTGTGCAACAATCAGACCAAATCAACAGTGAGACAGTAAGAATGTGTTTTGCAGCCCTTAGGAAGAGTTTGGTTCTTAGAGGTCTGGTTGATTAAGCAGCAGCCTGCTTCGAATTTCTCAAGAGGCTACTGACATTTGGAATTGGCTGGGGGACCGAAGTACCCCTGAGCGGCACTCTCCGAGTGCAGAGATGACGTCACTCAGGTCGCACCTTAAAAAGGCAGCCTAGAGGTTGCTGGCTAGACGTCAAGTTCAGGCTAATATATAAATAGACCTACAAGTCAGAGAATAGCTGACACCAGGTGAAAATTATGCAGGACAAGATACACAAAATCAGCAGTGCAAGGTCGTCAGCTCGGACCTTTTCCTGGATGTTAACAGAGGCAATAAGACGTCTGCGAATTCTACAGCACAAACTGGTGCATTTTCTTCGAAAACAAACAAAAGACAAAACTGCAATAAGCAGCTGATCGATCTGTGATGCAGGAGTGTTTCGTTAGTCTGCTCTCTCTGAGAAGGGTTGGGGACATAATAAAGCACGTCAACATTTGTGGGTAAGGGGGTTGAAACTCCTCCTATTCAAACAAACAAACAAATAAATAAATAGATCTCTCTCTGAAGAAGGCCATGGGCTTCTTGAAACAGATTATCTGCTCACTGCTTCTGTTCCTTGTCAGTGCTTAGTTTTGATTAAAGAAAATCCCAGACCAAGCCATGAGATTAGTCTGGTTTTGCGAATGGGGCCTCGCCCCCAACGTTTGCTCATTACCAGTCCAAATCTCAGGGTGCCCCCCGCCCCCACCTTTGGCTCAGACAGCTAGGATGGAACATCCCACTGTGGACAGGATTACAGAAGGAAAGGGTTACGGTGAGCAAAATGGATGGTGGAGCGACACAGATAAGGGTTTTATCTTCCCGATCCACCACGGAGGGACCTGCAGACTCCGGACCAGAGCGGTGACATCACTGGTCAAATGCAGCCTGGCCTCGCATGCCTTGCTGATGGAGTTGCTGTGAAGTCACCTCCCTCAGAATGTGTGAGCAAATCCTCCACAGAGATGACTAATGGCCAGCAGAGCCTTACACGTCTGGTATGCGCCGATCCTATCTGCCGTGCGGCCTGGCGGCTCTCGATCCTCCGTCCGCCGGCGCATCTCTCGGTTACGATTTGTCAACGAGAAAATGAATATCCGCGGGTCGAGGGCGAAGCATTTGCGAGGGTGATGGGCCAAGCTACTGATCATCTAGTCAGATAAACCCCTGAGGCATCTTATATTCCTGCCTGATGGTGTGTAGACGCAATGTTTGGATAGCGTCCGAGGTTTTACTATTGTCCCTCTCTGCTCTCGCAGGACTTGCGTCAGCGGATCCTGGGACTGTCACTCTCTGCTCCAGTTGCAGCCGTGCCGACCGCGAAGCGGAAGGGAATTGTTATCAGCTGACGTGAGCTGGCCTCCTCCACCGGATTCGGACAGATGCCGAGCTACGCTCTCGCGCTCATCCTGATCTCATCTCCTACCGGCCTCCTCCCCTTCTCTTCGATAAAAGTTACGGCAGTGAGGTCATATCACAGCCTGGCATTTCGACCCAACAGGCACTGACGCCAGTCCGGTCCGGGACGCAGAATGAAACCATAACAGGAAGTACATCTGACATAACATCACCCCTCCCAGAATTACAAGTTAACAAGCTTTCCCAGCACCACCTTGCCTTCCCAAGATTTGTTTCCCACCCTCAGGTAGATGTTAGACTCCGTAACTCTTTCCTTTGCTTTTTTTCTTCTTTGAATTATTGTTCTTGCTGACATTTTCATACTTCTTCTGCTTTATTACCAAAATAACTCAAACCTTCTAAAAATACAAAGTGTGTGCCTTTATTTTACCAGCCACGATGGCTTAATAGACCCTAAATGATGGAATAACAGCTTTCTAACCTCTTATTTGGTCTGTTAACGCAAAGGAACAAAACACATCAAAATAAACCATTCATCTGGCATGGTTGTTGTCAAGGAGACATTACCATCGCTGAGGAGATTCAACATCACAAGCAGATGCTGCTACTCACTGTCATCATACAGTTGTCATGATGTACTGAAGTCCTGTCTGGCTCAAAAACGAGTGCTTGGGATATTATATTGTAAATTATAAGATCGACAGTGCAGCTGGCGCACAGACGTTTACCAGGTGAGGCAGAAGTACGGCAGTTTTACGGACACATGCGCACGTCAGCGGTAGTTGCTAGGCGCAAACGGATTTCTGAGACTCCTTGCTTGTCTGGAGCACGCAGAAATGTAAAATATGCCGTAACTTGCTCACAACTTCAGGCTGACCTTCAGTACACTTCAGCATGTCGAGTCACTGCGCATTTTCTAGCGAGCTGCCAAAGACACTCATGAGAGAGTCAGAGTCTTCCGCTGGGAACGTTCCTGGAGCTATGGGCCGTATTAAACTTCCTTTCAACACCTTCTCTAGGGTCGCAGAGGGCAAACACTCCCTCCTTCTATGGTTTGCTCACTTTCCCAGCACTGAACGTTGGAACCGACGTGTTGGGAAGCCTGGAACAGGGCATGTATCAGTCATACTTAGGGCCAGGCCCTCAATGGCAGTATCAGCACTCTGCTTTGGGTACAGTTATGTCACTCCCAGAAAAACAGTGCCGAACGTTTATGGAGGGAAACAGTGCCGAAAATTAAAAGGATGAAAATAGCCTGGGATAAAAACCAGCGGACGACAATTCTGGAACGTTTAGTCCCCTGATACCAAGTCAAAAGCCCCCCCTTCACTACAGAGCACCTGTGTGAATACAAGGTTTCAATGGCACTGCGAAGCTCATTGTATAGAGAGAGAGAAAAAAAAAAGAAAAGAAAACAGCTAAATGTTCCTCCGGTGTTTCCATGCGAAATCCATGTGGAAAGATCAACGCTGCGAGGCCAGTTAGACACTGATATATTCATCCACAGAGAGTTACTTATTGTGTATATTAGATTCATCATCTCATCATCTGTGCAGCTAAAAACAGGCAGCCAACAAGAAGGCAAAGCGTTACACGACCGCGCAGTTTCACTAGGTTATTACTAAGTTGCCATTTAATCCTGTGGGTTCAAACCCCGGTCCCAAAGTTGAAATAATTAGGTTTTATTTTGCAATTTAAAAAAAAAAAAGGAAAAAAAAAGAAAGAAAGATATTCCAGGCTTGATGCGGCATCCCGACAAACATCAGAAATGCTTCATCTTAAGTTTACGGTCACTGTGGAGAACAACCAGTAAGTTAACTATTAATTTCAGTTATGAAAAATTAAGACAATATCTTGTTTGCTAGTTTCAAGGAAAGTGTATAAATGAAATGGATTCACGTTTAACTTGAATTAGTCAGTTCGTCAAGAAAAGAAAAAAACATTTTTTGACCATTTAAGTATATTGTACAGGCCAATAGAGAAATACAAAATTTTAGTTAAAGTTGATAGATTGTGAACTTTAAAGGATCAAAACTTCAAACATTTCATATTTGGACAATAACACTTTTCATATAAGGAATCCATCTATTTTGCACCTGAAGGGTGCAGTTTCTAAACTCTTCATGAGCAACATTTGTTGGGCATTTTTAAAAATGATGAAAAAAAAGCGTTGGATTCATCAGTACGTAGGGATTACCTTCCAATCACAGAAAGCTCATCCTCCTGTTTTCTTTTACCATCCTGTCATTTTCACGATGCCCATATGTTCCTGTCGCAGTCGTTCATATTTATAGAAAAATCACGCGGAAAACCAAATTGCATTTACAACCACATTGTTTCATAATGGAGATCTGGTGCATTCAAAACACTAATTTCAGAGATAATCCATCCATCATTCATAAAAGGACTCGAATCAGACATCTGTTTCCATTATATTCAAACTGGATATAGTAATAACCAGTAAATATTGTCAGATAAAAAAAGTGTGGCTTTTATTCAAGTAACAGAATTCACAGCACAGTTGTTGAGCACAGGGTCTTGGACAATCTCTGGTTTGGTCCGATGGGAGACACCAACCTGCAGCACCCCAAGAGGGTTCCACGGCAGAAGAATCTCCTGACGTACCTGTTCACACTGGATCCAGATGAAGGACACTGCCAGGCGGGGAGATCCAGGTTGTCTTCAACGTCAGCTGCTCAAAGCGGACACCATGACACCAGAAGGGCTTTGCACTCTTCCTTTTATTTATTCAGCTCTTCCCACCCTCTTGCCGCCCCCCCCCCCAGCATTGAGATCATGCAGGAAGCACTGTACAGTGAGGGAAGCTGGAGGCACTGTACAGTGAGAAGCTGGAGGGCTCCTTTTGCTCGGCTACTAAGCTGACAGAGATGCACAGAGAATGAAGGGGGGAGAGACAGAGAGAGAGAGAGAGAGAGAGACAGACAGACAGACAGACAGAGGAGAGAGAGAAGCTTCTATTCTCACAGAAGCCTTCGTTTTCAGAAGTTCATTTTCTCCCTCAGAATTAAGTGTCAGTGTTAAGAAGTAGGACCCTTCCTGTTATCAGAGCACGTCCTTCTCGCCCATCTTCGCTGCCCAGACTTAGAGGGACCAGAGACGCCGGGCTACAGGCTAAATTTAACGGCTCCTCCCAGTTACTCACAGAGGTGAAGCAGCTGAACAGTGGCGGGGGGGGGGGGGGGGGGGGGGGCTCTCCCAGGACATCTGACAGCTGATCCAACCCCCCCACACACACACACAGCGCAGAGGTCCAGTCCGGCCCCTCCAGCCCAAAGCAGGCGAAGAATGAGCCTCTCCCTGTTTTTTGAGAGGGGCAAGGATTTGACAGGGAGGGGAGGTGGAGGGTCACTCATTCCAAAAAAAATGAGGCTTTTCTTATCAGATGCGTTTCAGCTGGGCTTCTACAGAAACAGGCAATGTCACTTAATTACCGCAGTTGCTGTTATTTTAGGCTCTTACAGTCTGAAATACACTTTATGTTACACAATTAATCACTTCATCAGTTTTTTTTAATTTAGAATGGAAAACTGATGTCATGAGATCGGATCTGTTTTGTTTTTATTTACCGTTTTCTGCTAGTCTTACAGCTCAGTATTACAGCTGTAGATTCGTGCAGGCTGACGTCATAAAACAGAGCTCTCTCTCTCTCTCTCTCTCTGTTAAGCCCACGCCCACATGGTGAAAAACAGACTGTTTGGCTGCTTGTACATGAGCTGATCCCCTTCGCGTCACAATTAAAATTCTGCACCTGCGGCAGTAAACTCAACAGATAAGAAAACCAAATATTTAAAAGAAAGTTCATCGAGTCAAACAACCAAGTGCTCAGGGATTCGACATGTAAACAGTGCTTGATTTTTGAAGGAATATTTGTACTTCTTAAAAACATAAGTGAGCACATATCTAGAGAATGATGTATATTGGGTCTGAAGGCTCACTGTAGAGCCCAAGGACTTTTGGACCCATCATTACTGGAATACATAAAAAGTAAATAATACATGTTATAAATTTTACACAAACACACACTCTGAGTTTAATGCACACAGCCAAATTCCTGTCCATTCGTATTTGCTGTTTATCTTCCAAGTTCTATTAATGTAAACATTGACCAAGGAAGCTAATTCAGGGACCCATCAGTCCCCAGTCAACCCCAGACTTCCCTGATAGCCCAGGAGTTAAGACCACATCAGAACTCTGAGTAACTGGAAAATGGGTTTGGTTTAACATGTGTGGCGTTTATTTTACGGTTATTGCAAATTGATTGACTTGTTTGCGTGAAAGGTACGGTCACCCTAACCTTTCACCGTAAGAACCCCGACAAACATATATGCTTTAGTGTAAAACGTACTTAATGTGTGTGTCAGCATGTTCTAGGTCAGCAGCACTCAGATGGCAGACTAGTCCGCATATGGAACGAAAAAATTTAATACAAACCACACGATCGACAACTGAATCCATGAATCTACCAAGGGGACCCCCAACTTGCCCCCCAGAAAATATTATTGGGGGCAAAGTACCTTGGTTTTGTGTTGCTGATGGAATTTGAACCTCGGGGAAGACCAGCATAGCATCCCCTGTTCTAGGTCTCCACATGAAACTGACCATTTAGGATACAGCTGGCATCCATATCATATATTAAACCTGCCCTACTGAACGGAAGACTGTATGCTGCCAACCTGAGTGGGGAGGAGAGCTTAGCAAACCTAAATGAACAGATTCATGTGAAAAAACAAATGGCTTCCTTTAAGGAGGCCGAGCAGCTGCCAGTGTTTGAGAGGGAGCTAAAGCCTTTTCAGAGAATTTACAGCATTTATTTCCCCACCAGGTTTGTAAACACAGAGAGAGGATGTTATTTCCAGCAGAGAGACATCCCCGGCTGTGCGAGGATTTCACAGCTGTACATGGCTGTGTCGTCTAAAGCCGGTGTTCTGTCGATAGCCCTAACCCTAACCCCCCCCCCAAAAAAAACCACCCTAAAACCCTTACCCTAACCCCTATAACCTAACCCTAATCCCAAGACGGTGGAACTGCACGTGCGCGGAAAGGTTCGATAACACGTCTTGATAGGTAGCTCAACTCGTCAGAAAACCGGCGGGCCCAGAGGCCCCTCCCACCTCCCCGCCTGGACGTAGAACAGCCAGGCCTTGTCTTTTTCGAATGCATGAAAGCAGACTGCCCCGGCCAGTGTTTACTGTAGTCCTTTAAAATTATTGAATTAGTGCCACATGGAAAACAGATAAATATCTACCTACGCTATCTACATCGGGAAAATTATTCATTTTAAGCTCCCTGATCAATTTAGTTATTACTGAATTTATGATGAACATCTAGGGGTTCAGTTCCTACAGTGTAGGAATATTTGTAATCATAAATTTCTCATTTACTTCCATAACGGTGAGAAGGCAGTTTACTGCCACCAAGTGGGCATGTGAAGTGTTTGTCAGCACATAAGAGAAATATCACGTCAGTAAATACCAACGTTCTTATTTCATAATTATTCCATTAATTTCAAGCAATATACTGGATTTTACCTGCCTGAATTCTAACAACCGGATTTTCTCATTACAAAAGCAGGTCCCATTAATCATGTGTCACGCACGAAAGGGATTTCTATTGCTCTTTGCCTCGTGGCAGACAGGGTTTAATAGCGATTTTGCTGGTTTACAATAACAGAGGAATAACCAGGCTCTCATCAGAAAACGATTTTGTTCCCGGAAGTGGTTCGCGGTCACGTGGTCAGGGTACTAGCGATGGAAGCGTGGTACATGGACGAGAGTGACCGCGATCCCAGGCTGCCGCATAAAAAGGAGCCCAACGAACCAGTGTCTCCGAAAGAACTGAAAAGATTAGGAGTGTTTTACTGGAAGGTTCGGCGGCGCTTCTCTCTTTTCGATAGTGTCTTGTTGTTCATGCCATTACATAACTTCATTGTATTACGCTGCGACAGCAACAAATTAACTAAGCGATTACAAGTTTCGGGTAATCTGTTGTGTAGTCCAATACGCGTCCAGATTTTCTAAATGCTTTTGCAAAATATTAAAATATTACATATTAAGTATTGTACGTCATACCTGGTATCCCAAACCATGCAAGAAGCGAACTTTGTTAGTAGTACAAAATGTTGGTCTTAGTAACCCATAATACAATATTTAAGATCAGGAAGATCTTAGGTCATAGCTGTGGGCATTGGCGTGGATAATTACTCCATCCTACTGATCTAATGCAGTGTACTTTTCTTTCTCTAATTAAAAACACCAAAGGCTATTCTTCTTTGCAGTTGAATGCAGATATATACGAGACGGACCCCGAATTGCAGAAGATCCGCGATGAGCAGGGCTATTCATACATGGACATCATCACCATTCAGCGGGACAAACTTCCCAATTATGAGGAGAAGGCAAGTAGTCTAACTTTACCCTTAAGCATTTTCACTTTTAGTTGAAGTCTTGAAATAGTAAATGTAATTGTCATGCATTGTTTTTGCGCGCTTAACTCTTGTGGTAGTTATTACCTAATGAAAATTTTGGATTTTATACAAAAACGTTTCCAAGTTTATTACTAGTGAAGCGAATATGCAAGTGTTCGGTCACCACTTCATCTGATTGACTGATTTTTGTCTTAGATTTAGGGCAGATGCGATGCCGACCTTAATAATGTATATATTCCCATTAGCTGAAGACATTTTATGAAGAACATCTGCATCTAGATGATGAGATCCGGTACATCCTGGACGGGAGAGCTTACTTCGATGTCCGGGACGCGGATGAGCGGTGGATCAGGATAGCTTTAGCGAAAGGGGACCTCATTACGTTACCGGCGGGAATTTATCACAGATTCACTATGGACGAGACGGTGAGTTCCGGCTGTCCCCATAATACAGGGGTAGCCAATCTTATCCGCAAAGGGCCGGTGTGTATGCAGGTTTTTGGGATAACCTGTATAGGTCAGCTGTTCAAACCCAGGTGTTAGGACTCTTCAGCCAATCAGTCCTCTAATTAGTAATATAATTAGAGAGTTGCAGCGAAAACCCGCATACACACCGGCCCATTGCAGATAAGATTGGCCACCCCTGCCCTAATAGGACGCACGTAACTGAGCACTTGCCTTCCCTTCATTGTATCTGAAGATCTTTGTTAGTTACTTAAAAAAAAAAAAACCTCACCGTATATGTTGCTTCTTCTCTGATCCCAGAACTACACGAAAGCAATGCGACTCTTTGTTGGGGAGCCGGTATGGATTGCATACAACCGTCCCGCAGACGAATACGAAGCCCGCAAGATATACGTGAGCGCGCTCAGGCGCGCCGCCGAAAACGTGTCAGCTTAATTAATGGGGGGGGGGTAATCAAGTGTATCAAGATAGCTGGCATCTTTGTACAGCGGTGTGCTAATGGTTGACAACTACCTATCAGATTTATGTTATGGGACATGAGCAGATAAATAAAAAAAAGTTTCATTTCAATTGTCATGATGTATCCACTAATCCACAACCCCACATGTAAGTCAAAATTTACCTATGTCAGATCCCCCTCCCCCGATATACGACATAACCTAGCCAGGCATTTGGTGTAAACACAGGTATATAAAAATACACAATATAGATCCCTGGTAAATATCATATTAAATACTGCAGTAAGACACGTCTCTTTAATGAGATTCTTTACATTTGTATGAAGCACTACATTAATTTAAATAGATATGTTTCCAGCACAAGACACTAAATAACTGTGAAGATGCAGCTGCCTCTCTTGTCTGGATATGCCAACCTGCGTTTAATGTGTCACATGCGTCTCGCATGTGCTTCCCTTAAATAATGTGTATGGCAGGGATTTATTTTCTGGTTCCGATCCCTGGGGCAGCAGAGTCATCCCAGTATGGGGCCCTTGAGCAAGGCCCTTAACCCCAGTTACTCCAGGGACTGGCTGACCTTCGCCTTCTCTACACCAGGTCAATGAAGTGGCCTCCTGGGATGCTTTTCCAGCTGTCCTGAAGGAGTTCCATGTATATGCTGAGCACTCATTGGCCATGTTTCCTTCACTCCTCTGGTCAAATTCCTCCAAAACCATTTGTACTTTAGGTCAGGTGACCAGGTCATGTGATGCGATGCTCTCGCTCTTCTTTGTAGATGGCTTGGTGTGTCTGAACGTTCAACTGGTAGTGTGAGGCAGATTTACGTAAGTAGAGGTTTGTCTATCTAGTTTATTGATGGTATATTTAAAGACGGACAGCTTTAAACACAAATTAGTGTATAGGCATTAAAAATTGTGACCATGGCAGGTCATATTTGATGGTTGCTTTCAAATACAAGGTGGGAACTTAAACTGAATGCACATATGTCTATAGCTCAGAGTATTGTATAAAAATGACAGTTTTGAGGATTTGTGACTGTTAGATTTCACAATGCAAACTGTTTTTCACACCCAGCCTTTGCGCTGTGGTTTTTCACATATAGCATGCCAAACAGTATGGTCTAAGTCCACAGAATGTGTACTAGGGCTCGTTATGTGATTTTAGTGAACGCCACTGTAAAGTGTCAGGCAGGGGGCGCCCAAGCAGCAGGGCTCTTTTTGGGAGCCTTTTCCTCAGTAAGGAGAGCGGGGCCAGCTTTGCCTAACAGAGCACTTCTGTTTGCCTGTCATGGATCTGGCTAGGCAGTTCCACAGATGCATTACATCACCTTTGACATGAAAAAAATCTGGCAAAGAGACTCTCTATCCACAAAGCTACTTAAACACAATAACTGCAAAAAAGCAGAACCTGCAACTGGCCCTTGAGCATCAGTACTGACACCTACTGTTGTATTTTTGTAATATCACAGTGCCTACATGTTAATTTGTCTCATCCATCTCATCTCATTCATCCAATAAATTATCCATGTTACTCTAACATCAGCACTCCAATACCGTATTTGCTGAATGTTCGCAAAATTTTTGCATTCAAAAATGTTTGCATTCATGAGGCCAGTGGATATGCCTGGAAACGTTCGGGATGAACAATGGCGTCCCTGAACACGCTTGCTTCGCTGGGGTCGACACGTCGCGGTAAAGCCCGTGTCGGTCCTACGCGAGATTCCCAGCAGACCGCTTTCCGAAACCCCTCCAAGACCGAAACGCTTACCGCCACAAAACGGGACTCCTGGAGGTAATTGGTCCCAGCGAGCCACGTTTCTTTGTGCTTTGTTTCGCCTTCCGCTGCGTCGTTTCCACGGCGCGTACGCGGCCATTTAGGCGCGGTAATATTTCAGATTCCACCCTTGGAAACATTCATTAAAATATGTTAAAGCTGTATGGCTCCCAGCCCGAGTGCGTGTTTAGCCAGACCGAAAAACGAGGTTAATGTGAGTTATAGTTGCAGTTTCAAAGCGGGCTGTAAGAAGTCCGTGGCATCGTTGATGTACAGCGTAGAAAAACGGGTTCCTGTCGAAGGCCTGGAAAAAAATAAAGAGCACAGGACGGCCCGAAATGAGGCTGTCCTCACACTTACTTGCGTCCCTGGAGTAACTTTTAATTTGGCGACTCATAAATAACATATAAATATCCAGTGAAGCAGCCATAACTTTTTGCCATGTGACCATGTCAAGTGGTCAGGAATGCAGCCCATTCACCGGCCCTGAGAGCCTGTCCTACACGTGACACATCTTACTACTGGCATTTTTAAGAACTTAAAAATACCGTGACGTTAAAGGTAATGATTTTTTCCTCCTGAAGAATAACTGGTTGTACCAGTCGATGGGAGAATCTGTTCCACCCAAACAAAAAAAAAATCAGTGCTGAAATTGCATGTGAATGTGCAGCCTTCCCGCTAAACCACAATATATGTGAAATTTTAAATTCCCAGTGAATGATTAAAAGTTTCCCACATTACTTTCTTGTCCAGCTGAATAATGCCACCGTCCTTTAAACCATGTGACGCAGTTAGTTTGAACACCAGTAAAAGTATATTTGGATTGATAGCATTCCATTTGTTCTCCATAGTCCACAACCAACACAGTATGTATAACCGAAAAATCACAGAAACTTTACAATGAGAAAAAGATAGGATGCCTGAGGAAGATTTTAGTGATCCTTTTAAAGTTAAATATTTACAGGTGTGGATTAATAATGTATATTACATTCCGTTTTTATGGGGGCCAACGCCAAGTGGCATTCATCGCTTATTTAAAAGCCCCCCCACCCACCAGGATGGGGGAATTCCAAAGGAAACGCAACTGGATGGATGCCACAATGTGCTTACGTGAAATTAGCCGGACTGGGCGGTGGGCTGGTATTCCAGGATTACTGTACACCTTCCAGTTTGGGTTGCTGTGTATTAATGCAGCAGCGGTGAATGTTTTGGGGATGGGGGGGCGACTAGCTGGAGACCAGCTTGAGACACTGCGCGTTGAAGCTGTCACCCTCGCGGCAGGCCACCGCCTCCAGGAGCGCCTGTTTCTTCTGTGTGCTGCGCGACGACTCCAACTCGTACATGGTGGTGAGGTTGAAGAGCACGCTCTCGTGCAGGTAGAGTGTCGGATCCCGCTGCACCAGACCCTCCAGTTGGCCTAGAGACTCCTTCAGCCTGCCCAGGTACAGCAGGCACACCGCCGCGTTGTTGTTCGCCTGGTGGGGAGCAAATCACGTGCAGTCATTATTTTTTGTTTTGTATTTGTGTGCATCATCCATGCATGCATGACACTCAGGAGCCCCTTCTTCTGTGCAGGTGGGTGATTAAGAAGTAATATGGTGGGAGGTGTGTAACTCAGCGGGTTAGAAGGCTGCACCTGCGATCGGAAGGTTGCTGGTTTAGATTCCAGGGTGGGTGGAGTGATTGTACCGTTGGGCCCCTTAACCCCCAGCTGCCCCAGGAAGTGACTGACCCTGCTTTCTCAAAAATGTATGCTAAATAAATAACATGCAAATGTACACGTGTCATTATCCCAGAACACTTATATACCTCATGGGGTATAAAAGGGAAAACTTCCAATTTCCATAGGATTTTGAAATCTACCCCTGCAGGTTTGCAATAACATCCGCCTCAGACTACCTTTCCTTCTCAGAATCAATGTTTACTTGGCACAGGGCAATGTTTTTTTGCTACTCTGCCTTTCAAAGCGGCTCGCACGGTGAATAAATGTGAAACAAACATGAAACGGCGGAAAGGTACATACCACTGGGTTTTTGGGGTCGATTTTGAGAACTTCAGAAAAAGACACATGGGCCTCGGAGTAACTGTTCTGACTGAGGTGTACGAATGCCCTGGAAGAGAAGCCCACGGGAAAACCCGAGATGGAATCACAATGATGAAGGAATCCCTCATGGAATCACTATGCAGTCACACAGCCTCGGGGATTTCAGTGCAGCCTCACACAAAACAGACAGACAGGCACAGAGACTGCAACAGACAGAGACAAACAGGCAGCCAGAGAGATAGAGACAGACACAGAGAGACAGACACAAAGAGAAACAGAGACTGAGACAGAGAGAGACAGAGAGAAAGAGACAGAGAGACAGACAGAGACACAAAGAGAGACAGACAGAGACAAAGAGAGACAGACACAGAGAGACAGACACAAAGAGAAACAGAGACTGAGACAGAGAGAGACAGACAGAGACAAAGAGAGACAGACACAGAGAGACAGACACAGAGAAAGAGACAGACAGACAGAGAGAGACAGAGAAACAGAGAGAGACAGACAGAGAGATGGACAGAGAGACAGACAGAGAGACAGACAGAGAGACAGACAGAGAGAGAGAGACAGACAGACAGACAGATACACAGGCTTTTCCAGACTGCGGCTAAAGCGGCCACCTGTTCATTAGGACGTAGGTGTCCGGGTTTTGGCCGTCCCCCTTGGCCTGACATGCCTTCTCCACTTCCTGGAAGTACTTCTCTGCAGTTTTGATGTCTCCAATCTGAGGTGTGAACAGAAACACAGCAAAACACGGTAGATCTGCCAGGTGCCGTAGTGGGAATATTCCAAAAATACAGCAATCTCAGCCCCAACGGCGTGGCAGGAAGAGCGAGATGGAGGGAACTGTGGGTGAACGGGGCATCACCGGGGCATTTGTGGGGGCGTGGTGACTAATGACTCCCCCGCCCCCCCCCCCCTCCCGGGAGAAGAACATGACCATATGCACGCATCTTGATCCCTTAAGAACTGCTCTGGTAAAATGATTACTGCAATAATTAGAAGCAAAAATATTTTTTAGCATTAACAAACATTAATGTTTACATATTTTCTTTTATAATAATACATTAAGTGCTGATGTACTGTGGACAGACACCATTAATTTTTGCCTGACTGTAGTAAAATCACTAAAGATAGCATTTGGGGGCTGGGGGGGGGTGGGGTCACCTGCAGGAATATCCGCCCAATGCCACTGAGTAGCTGCGCTTTCCGTTCAGGCTCGTGCTGGACGATGGAGTTGTACATCTCTACAGCCAGCACATAGTCCTGGGGGGTGGATATAGAGGTACGTCAGTGACCGGGGAGGGGAGGGGGGATCAGTGACGGCAAACGAAATTCCCCAAGAGACATTGGACTTGAATTCAAAGGAATTCAAAGCCAGGTAAGCCCTCAGATCGGTAAGCCCTCAGATTGATTTCCATCAAACTTGCTAAAAGTTAAGATATGCGTATTTCACATTGAAAATGAAGGCATTTGAGGCAGGAACACATGCTGCGTGTGCTCAGCAGTGGCCTCCACTGGACAGCAGATGGCGCTGTGACTCACCGCAAAACACAGACGAGTCTAACAGATTCACCGGCGCCAAACAAAGAGGTTGATTAGCTGGAGCAATCAGGCGCTGGAGCCTTTGCGCTGCTCCTGGCTTGTAATTAATAATCAAGGTTTGCAACGTGTCTTTGGAGAATAAGGCAGGAAGGAGGCGTGGGGCGATGGCGGCTCTGAGGAACACGGCCATGCCCATCGGGGTGCGAGAGGCGCCGCCTCACCTTCCGGAAGGCCGGCCGCCTGCCACTTGATTGCGAGACACTGCGCGCTCAGCAAGTTGACTGCTACAGCATGCTGACTCTGTGCTGCTTAGAGCCTGCTTACTGGTTAGACATTGAGTAATACTGGTTAACTCCCATGTATTGATTAGACCCTGTGTACTGGTTAATGCCCACACACTGGTTGACTCCAATATATTGATTAGTCCTTGCGTACTAGGTACTAGTTGCCACCCACTTATTGGTTAGGCCCTGCATACTGTGCATTGGTTAACACCCACATACTAATTAGACCCTGTGTAATGGGTACTAGTTAATCCCTACATACTAGTTATACCCTGTGCACTGGTCAACTCCTATGTACGGAGTAGACCTTGCAAACTGGGTACTGATTACAGCCCATATACTGGTTAGAGCCTGCGCACTGTGTACTGGTTAACGCTCACACACTGATTACACCCTGTGTACTAGTTAGTGCCCACAAACTGGTTATACCCTGTGTACTAGTTAATTCCCAAGTACTGATTAGACCCTGCGTACTTGGTACTTGTTAGCGCCCATGTACTGATTAGACCCTGCGTACTGGGTACTGGTTAGCGCCCATGTACTGATTAGACCGTGCGTACTGGGTACTGGTTAGCGCCCATGTACTGATTAGACCGTGCGTACTGGGTACTGGTTAGCGCCCATGTACTGATTAGACCGTGCGTACTGAGTACTG